AAATATAATGGGATTAGATGATGCACATGAAAGTATTAATACTAATACTGCAAATCAATTAATCACACAAATTACAAGTAATGATTCTGTATCAAGATTCATATAAGGAGTAGGGGAAGATTAAGCATAATAAATATTATTTATCTTTTAAAAAATTTGATTATACCAGCCAGATATAAATAAATTATCTTTTGGGGCACTTCAAATGAAAAAACAACTCTAATTATTTATCCACACACAACAACAGCACAACATAAGATAAATATTAATTTTGTTATAATAAAATATTATTTACACATGAATTTTTCTATTGGAATCCATGAATTTGTTTAATGATTCATCATTAATTTCTGATTTACGCTATATAAGCAAGTTATAAAATAAAATAATATTATTATTTAGTCTTTTATTTTTTCTAAAAAAAAAGGTTATATTATATTACATACCTTCTGGAAATCACCAACAAATTTTTGTAATACTTGAATACATCGTGCTTTTAACTGGCCAGTCAACAATTCACCAGATTTGTAATTCTATGAATATGAATATATATATATATATATATATAAGTTTATTTTCAATGTTTGAAAAAAATATAAAAAAATATACCTTGTAAATATTATTTAGCTCTTCATCATCATCCAAGAATACACACAAATATTGATATGCAACATCTATATCAGGATTACCGCCATGAAGTTTATGAAGTTCTAAGGTATCACCACCACCAGAAAATGCACATTTATTGATCTAAGTATAAGATAATATTCATTACTAATCTTTTCAGTTTTATAAATTATCCAATATAAGATACAAACCTTTGACTTAATTTGGTTTGGAGTATCTGTCATAAATATTGCTGAGTTATTGTCAGAAGCACTCATTTTTGTTTGTGATCCCTACATTTATAATGATGGTGACAAAATAAATTTTAACAAATCATGTATATGTAATAAATAACATGTTTAAATTTACCTGTAGAGCAGGAAAAAATTTAGCATGTATTAAACTTGGTTTTGGATACTTAAGTTTATGAGCAACATCCCGTGTTAAACGAAAATATGGATCCTAAATTTATATTACATTATTATTGTATTATTTTCTTATTGATCAATTATGTGTAAAAAAACCTCATCATGCAAGTACTCAATGGCTTACCTGATCAATTGCACAAGGGATCAAACAAGGAATGTCACTTTTGGTACCAAATATTTGAGGAAAAGTATTAGAAAATGATGGTGCTGCTTGGACTGCGACAAAATGAATTTTACCAATGCAATCACTTTATGAAATATATAATTAATAAATAATAAGTTCACAATTTGTATAATCATTTCAAATAATTAATTGATAAGAGACCTATCGTTAAAACCAAATGTTGATTTTGATTGACTTGTTGTGATACACTTTGAAATTCTTACAATGTTATGATAAAATGCTTTACTAAAAAATTTATGTATAAAATTTATGATGGTCAGTGATAAATTAACCAATTGTATCATATCAATGATAAAGACAGTTATATTATTATTATTAATTTAACAACCTAACTGAATCAAGATTTGAAAAAATATAAGTTTTTTCAAGTTTAAAACCACAAGCAATGATATCTTTAGCATTTTCATGTGCAAACTGATTAGCCTTTTCCAGAGTAAGGTCTGGCTTGAACAGAAATTTTTCATCATCTGGAAAAAATAATTTTTAAATAATTTTTTATAAAATCATATATTATCTTATATCAAATATTATATTCTAACCAGTTAGTTGAATAACAATTGGTACATCAAAAACCTCTTGCAACCACCTAAATTAAGTAACTATATAATTAATTATTGATTGGACTTCAAAAAAAAACAATTATCTTACAAAAAAAAAGTTACATACTGACAAAAAATAAATGGAACCATGTGTCCAAGATGCATAGAAGTACTACTTGGACCACGGCCTGTATAAAGAAAAAATGGTTTCTTTTTTTCATAACGATCCAAAATCATACCAAGTTCTCTATTGACAAAATGTTATAAAAATAATAACACACAAATATTGAAATCATATAATATGCGCAATAATAGATATATGTATGTGTATGTGTATGAACCTATGAGAAAAAAACACTCCTCTCCTTAAAAATATATGACATTTTTTTCCAGTCAAAGTTTCAAATCTTTCAAGTAGATCTTTATCTATTCGTTTCGTACCAAATTGCTCAATCAGTTTATCATAATCAATTGCTTGCTGTTTTCCATCCACAACAGCTCCGTTGACATTCCAAGGGTTTATTATTTGATCTTGAGTGATTGTTTTAGTTTGTGCACTATTAATATCCATTTTAATTCGTGATACGTACGTGAAAGTAGATAAAAATCTATATGTTGATCTGGGACGAAATCGACGAATTGAAATACTACTTTCTAAGATAACATGACCAAAATATCCACAAACAAAAAAATAACGTGATTTTTAGATAAATTAGAACCATAAAATTGCCTTTATTTAAAAAAATTATTTTTTATTAATTAAAAAAACCAACTTTACTTTTGAGTATTTCTGGATTTTGAAAGTAAAAAAACCTAGATTATTTGTGTACCTCTTACAGTAACTATTCAAAACTTGACCACATGATTTCTCCCATCATCATTAAGTCCTGGGAACTGGTAAATAGTTCAGATAAGTAACTATCCAAAACTTGACCATGTAACTTCTCCTCTCATCATTAAGTCCTGGGAAATAATTTACAGAAGAGTTAAAATAATCATCTTGTTTTCTATTATTTATAATTTTATTAAAGATTGTATTAATAATAACATAGTTCAAATAAATTAATTTCTTATAGTAGGCAGGAAATTAGTTCACAGCAAAAGCAAGTTGTTAATATTAAACTATTAGTAAGGTGATGTATCACTCTAATTGGATTTATATCATGATTTAATTTTAATAATTATGTGATAAATTACTTGAAAATTCATTTATTGTAATTTGTTAACAT